TTCTAGTTGCAGTAATATTTCTAAGTATAGAATTGATTCTCAAAATTGTGTCTTGATGGTTCATTAGTTGCCTATTCATGCTGATCCTATCACCCTGTAACATAAATAGTAACGGAGTCAGGATTTTCACGAAGATTGAGGTATCAAAATATGTATACGTTAAAAAAAAAAAAATTTAGCTATGTAGTGTAATTTTCAGATGGAAGATATATAATAGTTCTGTATGTATTCCAAATTGAATAAGTAGAATATTAATAGTATATGTAGTAGTGGCAGAGTTAGGATTTTAAAATTTGGACCTACATTTCTCGTATGCTATAATGGTTATGTAATTTTTTTTAAAAAGTATGTTGAATCAAAAACATCAATTAATTACGCTTTTATTATGAACGTTTACTACTTATGCAAGGCCAAGATGATATATATGAAGGGCGGCCTTACGTGGAAAAATAGAATTAATTAACATGTATTACACGTACAAAATCTGAAAAACACTCTCACAAGTCATATTTTATCATAACGGACATTCAAGAATCGGTACATGAAAATTTAATGAATCAGAAAGAAATTGTATTGTTGAGAAATGATCTAGATGGAACTTCTGACGCGTCTACAACTTGATGGAATAAAAAATAAAACTTTCCATGAAGAAGATTAAGTTAAGTCATGTCTCGAACGGGTATGACATGGGTAGATTTAATAAGTGGGAGAGACTAATTAATTGAACCTTATTCATCGAAAAATTATATATTATGTATATAGGTAAAAAATTAACGAGTTTTTACCCATCGATAACCGGTCTCACTACGAATTCCAGCAACTCCTGATCCATAATTGACTCCTCTAAGGATTTCATTGCCTCTTGCAGTTGCATGTGGTGGAATCGAGCTATTGAATCCTATGAGCTCAGCTGAACGGGAGAAAAACGCGGTTAGTTAAGGGGGGCGGTATTAAAGCCGGTGAAAATTCATCGTAAAAAAGGAAAAATCTATCTGGTGACAAAATCAAAAATTTCATCAAGTATTTTAAGATAGCACATGTAAAAAAACTTAAAAATTGATTGATAATACACATAGTTAAAAAAAATTCAACCATAGGTGTCCAATTGACCACCCAATGGCTAATGTAGGCCGTAGCTTCGCCCCTGCCTCCTTTCCATTTAATGTTGCATTGATTTGACTTAGTATAGAGTTCAAGAAAAAAAGAATATCTTGTAAAAATGGTGGTGTAAAACAATGGAGTAAGCGGTTATGTGAATACAATTCATCTCATTAATTAATGGGAAAATATGAATTATAAAGCTAAATCGTATCTAAATATAAAAAGAGTGATTATCTTGGGACACGATGTTGGGACCGAGGAAATTTCTATATATAAGTCAAATATTACTTTATATCTATATAATTAAGTTTTTCCAACGAGCATTCTTAATTGTTGATCCTGGATAAGACACTCAAAAGAAGAAAAGATGATATGAAGATGCAATTAACAACAAGTGGTAGGTGATCCTACGAAGCTTTCGAAAAAATGGAAGCCTTGTGTGGAAATTTATATATGTATTAAATTTTGAACACTGTCAACAAAATTTTGAACAACAAGTGGTAGGTGGTTCTGCGAAGCTTTTGAAAAAGGGTAGCCTTCATGTGTGAGAATTTATATATGTATTAAATTTTGAACACCGTCGGGGATTTATTGAAAACAGTCTTCGTACAGACCATACTCCACAAAGGTAAATATAAGGTATATATATATCATGTTCTTCCTGAACTTCACTTATAAAATTATATTGAATATGTTGTTATGATCGAATGAAGAGAGAAAATGTACCTAGAAAGTCAGCTTTGTTACGGCCATTGGTGAATCTTCCATTTTGTGGACCGTTTGGGAAATCAATTCCATAAGGAAAATAATTGGCCTTAGCTGTTGTTATAAGGTTATTATTATTCCCATTATCAACTATTGAGTCTCCAAATATGAAGTAACATGGCACTTGTGGTTGACCTTTTACCATTGAAAACATAATAAATATTGAAATCATCAAAACTATATGATCCCTACATGAAGACATTCTTGAGTTATTGAATGATGAAAAGAGAAATCAAAGAAAAATGGGAAGGATAGTGATAGATGCAAAAAGGTTGAACTTGGAACTACCTATTTATAGAGGATATTAATTATCAAGGATGTGCAAAATCAAGGAGATTTGAGTCGTAGTTGTTGCAAATTTGCTTTCGTAAGAAAAAAGTCAGCCGAAGTTGTAAATATATCTAATTCTGGGACCATATATCAATCATTAATTAAACTATATTCGTAGTGTCTGAAAATTTTGCAAGTCTACTTATTTCAGTTGTATGTCTGAAGTTTGGTTTGTTAGATAAAATGTCTGAAGTTTCATATAGTTGAAGTTCAAGCATTTTTGTATGAAGAACTACAACTATTTTTATTTGAATTTTAGTCATATCTTTATATCTGAGGTAAGACTTCGTTAAACCTAAATTCAAATAACACATATTTAAAGTTATTTCAAAGTGGATATTTGTACAAAAAAAAAAAAAAAAAAAAAGGATATAAATTAAATGATGGTGTCCAAATAAATTACCTATTCATAGAGGATGTCAAGGTTGTGAAAATCAAAGAGTTCTTTTGCTTTGTGATAATTTTTATTGACCGTTAATTCGATCGCTTACACAAGGAGATACTCGTTAGTCGCTTAAACTATCTTTTATAAGGTGAAATAATATAAATGCAAAAACTCATCGTCAAATAGGGTTTAAGGTCGAACCCCGATCATCCTAATAGTAAGAGCACGGCTTAAATCATTGTCTCATTCCATCCCCTGATCATCTCTTTCATCCTCAAACACCAATCCCCATCCTCCCGCTCCTATAGTATTTGGCTAGATTAATAGATGTTTTTAATTAAAATTATAATTATTTTCTTAATTGCTTACTGAACATTAAAAAATTAATAAAAAATCAATTTGTTTTTAAAAATATATATATATTTATCGGTATCAAACACACCCTAAATGAATGGAAAATTTTGGAGAAGTCCAAATCTAGATAGCTTCAAAATTGTGGAACGGTCAAAGAAAATCATATCATGGAAATGCAACAAATTGTATGGGTTGGTCTAGTTGTTGAGGATTATGGAGGATTTTGCATGTTAAGACTTTTTGAATTTATACCATATGCTATGAAAAAATAACAATTTTATATAGTTTGGCAAATTTTTTGGGAAAATGCATAAGTACCCTCAACCTATGTCCGAAATCTCAGAGACACACCTAACCTTTACTAAGGTTCTATTACCTCCCCGAACTTATTTTATATATAATTTTCTACCCCTTTTCGGTCTACGTGGCACTATCTTGTGGGCCCAGCACGTGTTGACAATTTTTTCAAGAATAGTGTCACGTAGGCCGAAAAGGGGTAGAAAATTATATATAAAATAAGTTCGGGGGGGGGGGGGGGGGTAATAGGACCTTAGTAAAGATTAGGTGTGTCTCAGGGATTTCGGGCATAGGCCGGGGGTACTTATGCATTTTCCCAAATTTTTTTGAAAAAAATACTCGATTGATCATCTTAGCTGGTTATAGTTTTGCCTATATGCACCGAATCGAGAAGTGTTTTTTTTTTTGTTGATAAAATAGTACCTTTAGCAGTTTTGATGGTCCTTTCCGTTTGTTGAAAATGCAACATTGAATGGGTATTACTGGAATAGTAAAAGTGAATGGAAAGATGAAATAGGAAAATTTATTGAAAAATATAAATTAGGTACTATTTGACGTAAGGTTATGAGTAACTTTCACATATAGCAAACATAAAAATTATATTTGTATGTTATAGTTATAGTTTGTATAATTGCGCTCCATAGTAAACTTTATATTTGCTATGGAGCATCAGATTGTATAACTCGCTGGCAGGCCATATGTATAAATCGTTGGCAGCCTCTCGTTTGTATAAATCGTTGGCAGCCTCTCAATTCAATTTTATATGTTTGTATATCTGCATAAAATTTGAATTTGTATACAATTGAATCGAAATAAAACATTTGTATATCAAATCTCTCTCTCTCTCGTGCGCTTTATACAACACATTTGTGTTTGCATAAAGCGAGAAAGAGAGAAAGGCAAAAGAGAACTTGGCAGGGGAAGATCTGTATTTGTATAATTATAAGTGTATAGGACGAAAATGTATGTATTCGTATTTGTATGTACAGTTTTCTCTCGCTTTATACAAAGATAAATGCATTTAATGTATTTGTGTTTGTATAAAAGCGAGAGGGGCGAGGGAGAGACTGACGAGAGTGGCGAGCGAGAAACCTAGGGAGAGAGACGAATGACAACTGTTTGCTACAGATTACAATTAAATCAAACTGTGGTTATAACATTTAATTTGAATTAATAGTTTGTTATTTTATATAATTTTCCCTATATTTAATGCTAAACTAGATAGTTAGTTACATTGCTTTTGGCTTTTAGTGTTTGTTCAAGCAATTAATGAAATATTAATTCAAAGATTTAGGTACAATTCTTTTGTAGTAATTATTGATTTATTTAAATTATTAATCACAATTTAGTACTTTGTCAATTTTTGCCATTTGCACTTTTGCATTTCTAGAAAGATAAAACATGTTATTTGCTTATACTTTTGCAATTAGATAGGATATATTAACGGCTGGTACCCGCATGGGGGCTACTTATTCTATATTTATATCGAAAAGTTTCACTCGAAAGGATAAAAATTCTCTATAAAAATGACTTCATACATAATTACGGTTCGAAGCTAAAATATATATATATATATATATATATATATATATATATATATATAGATATATATAAAATAACAAATTGTACATTTGTAATGCAATATATATAATTCTTATATATTTAATAATAATAATAATAATAATAATAATAATAATAATAATATATATATATATATAAAATAACAAATTGTACATTTGGAATGCAATATATATAATTCTTATATATTTAATAATAACCATATTTATTTTTTCTTCACAATTGTGCTAAACGTTGAATATCAAAAGGGTATGCATCAGTTGACTTTTGAGCTCTATAAGATCTTCTTCCAACAATTATATTTGCAGCTTCACCTGGATGAAATGCATCCCAAAACAAATATTCATTTCTATTTGGACATGGATTTTGAAATGGTAGACATGTTATTTGTCCATTGTTCCTTCCTATTCCACAACATCCAGCATTCGTCACTCTAAATCCTGAAAATACAATAAAGTTAAATGTCAAAAATATCTTTAAATTAAACAATTTACAAGATAAACACTAAATCTTTAAATAATTTACAAGTGAAAACCTTACGTGACAAATAATATTGACTAAACAAAGCATTAAAAAGATAGAAATATAGGTTTGAGAAAAAAAAAATATCGCCTACCAATATAGTATTAATTAAGTGAGACTTTTAAGACAAATATATATAAGATAGTATAGGCAACTATTCTTACTATTAGATCAAGTAAGTAGAGAATTTAAAAGACATATAATATGGATCGAAAAGATTAGTAGAGAGGGAAAGAGAAGTTACCGAAAGCAAAGGGATTGTCAATTAAATCTTGAAATATTCCATAAGCATTAATGTAGATTAATTTAGCATTTGGTGTATTTCTATTTAAATTATCCACAAGTGCCCTCAGTTTATTGTTAAATAACTGATTTGCCACATTAATATTTTGAGCACAAGTTCTTCCATCTGGGCTGTTTTGGGCCAAAGCATTTGGGCTGCATCCAATTTGGCCCACTCCAATTAACACAAATTTCCTTGCTCCATAATTGTACAATGTCTGCAACATAAAGTACACAATTAAGGTCGATTTACGCAAATGTCCCTTTTTTAGGTTATCATTTAAATTTTGTCTATACTTTAAAGTCGTACAAATATAACCAAAAGAACTATCTTCGGATGATGTTAGACTCTAATTTAATGTTTCCCTTATCTTCATCGATGAGGGAGGTGGCGGATGAGTGATAATGACATTACACATGATTTTATAAGCAGTCTTAATCACAACAATAACATATCAAGTGTAATCTCATAAGTGAGGTCTTGGAAGGATAGGATTTACGCAGACCGTATCCCTATTTTGTGAGACAGAGATGTTATTTCCGATAAACCTTCGACTCGGAAATTTTATAAGTAGTGTCAATCTATATATTATCACCATTCAACTTGAAGACATGTTGGATTTTGGGCCAAGGGTTCTAAAGCTTTACTTCTTATCTCAAATTTATATGTACCCTACATTATTTATTCAAGGGGTATCAACTTATTGTACATATGTATATCTATATGTGTATGTATATAATTAATTAATGTTATTCACCAAGTAACATTGGAGGAGACGGATTCAAAATTCAAACATTATATATGAGATAATTTAAATTTGAAACTCGGCCACTATTAAAAAACGAAAACTTCCATCAGAGACATTACTAACATTCGAATTTTGACGATTTTTATTGGACATCCACCGAAAATTCTCAATTTTTAAGTATTGTACCACATGTATTTGATTCGATTTATTGGATTCAAGATCTATTATATGTAAATGGATAACAAAAAAAAAAAAAGAGAGATCACCTTTAATTGTTGAGTGTATTGTTGGATAAGAACATTGGCATATTGTTGAGGAGTAAATTGTCTACTTGTTGAATAATATTGGGGCATAAAATAATTGTTGAGATAATCATTACTTCCAACTCCAATTGAGTAAATACATTTACTCAAATAATTTGCAGCTGAATTTTCATTTCCAATTATTCTCACTATTTGTTGAGCTATGTTCTTGTAATTATTTACTTGACCTGAAAATGTTACCCTTCCTCCCTGCAAAAATTCAATAAGTTAATTTAACGGCACTACAATAAAAATAATTTTTAGCGGCATTAAATATTGACATTAATAAAGAGTGCTAAAGTCTTTATCGGCATTAGTTAAGTGCCATTAGAATCAATGTCGCTAAAGGCTTTAGGGACATATACAAAGAGTGCTAATTGCCACTAAAAATACATATTTAGCAGCAATTAAGAATTAATTGCCGCTAATGATTATTTTTGATGTAGTGCGGAGATCAAGAGTGTTCACTTACGTTCAAAAGAATTAGAATTTACGATACAGATGGTCTGTCATAAATTCATCAATATTATATTGTTTTCGACGAATTTTCTATCATAAATTGAACATCTTTGTGTTATGCGTATTCAGTCAAATAAAATCACATAAAATGAAACGGAAAAAGAAATTAGTACCAATTGTTGGCCAGTTTCTTCTCTAATTCCAGCAGCAGCAGATGCAAAATTGACACCTCCAAGTATTTCTCTACCCCTTGCAGTTGCATAAGGTGGAATATAATCATCAAAACCCAAAAGCTCAGCTGAAAATATATACAAACAGTATATTATAATATAGTGAGAAAATATTGAGTTTTTTTTTTTTTTTGAGAAGACATAAATTTAGAGATATTAGGTGGATGTTTGAACATAAAAATCGTGAAATTTGGAAAAAGGTAGTACGTACTTGTTTTTAGCTTGAAAATAATATTTGGAAATTAAATTAAATTGTGTTTGGACGTTAATACAAATTGTAATTATTTTTTAATTTTTATTAGTAGTTTAGAATAAAAATTGTGAAAATAACTTTTAAATTTTTTATTGAATTTCATATACGTATTGAATACATAATTAAGTTAGAATTAGAAAGCATAAAAGTTTGTAGCTTAGTAGTAATAAGTTTTTAATTAACACATAATTAAGTTAAAAAATTCCGCTCTTTCTAACAATTTGAATTAAACTTTTCAATGAGATGGTTATAAAATTTAACATATGTATCAAAGCAGACATAGAATAAAAATCAAGGTTTTGAATCTCGCAGTCAGAACTACTTCATTATAAAAATATAGTTTTCACATGCTTAACTCATAAGAAAAATTGACCAAGCAGACTCTCGCGGGAAGGAACGAGTTAAACATATAATTCAATAAATAAATGTGTGATTCCTCTAAGAACTTCAGATATTTTCACGTACTTAGCCCATAAGAAAGAGTCAAGCTTGCACATAAATAACGATATACGTATTGAATATTTAATTAAGTAAATAAAAGTACATTTTGATGAACTTACCTATGACATCAACAGTAGTTTTACCATTGGAAAATCTTCCAGTTGGTCCATCAGGAAAATCAATTCCATAAGGCAAATAATCAGCTCTAGCCAATGACCTAATCACATTATTATTTCCATTATCCACTAATGAATCACCAAATATAAAATAACAAGGCACTTGTGGTTCTCCTTTTGTACCATAATTATCCCCAAATAAACTCAACATTAATAAAAACACACATATTATCTTTAAATCTCCACACATTATCAATCCTTCAAAAAATAAAAACAAAAAAATTAAAAAGAAGAAATTTGAGAGAAAGGAAAAGATTAAAGACAATGTGTATGGTTTGTGTGTGTATATATATATATATTGAAGGAATGTGAGAAAAAAGATAGAAAAATGAGAAGAAATATTAATTTAAATATTTTCTAAAAAAATAAATCATTTTGACAACTAATTAATATTAAAAACTTGATGTAATTTGAAGGGAAGTGGGGTAATTGGCAGATGTATAAGAGGAAAAAAAACTAAATTCCTCTTTGAATAATAAATACTGATGGAAAATATTATTAAGTCGGATCCACTTGTAAGAATTGTTAATTATTAAGCTCATTATGTTCAATTTATTCTTCTTCTAAATCCAACTTATATAACATATATAAATAGATCATTTTGTTTATTATTATTTTTCTCTCTTAATTCACTTGAAATAGTTTCTGAATTTTATTTAATTAGTGGTATAGTTAGTTTCTCTTAAAATATATTTCTCAGAAAATATTTTTCAAATCATTTTTTTTTCATATTGGGGAGTAAAATATTTTTTAGCAAAAATAACTTCGTACCCAAAAAAACTCGAACCAGACTTGAATTATTGATCTTATTTAGTGCTTTTACAGATAGGAAGTTAGTTAGAAGCATTGAATTTCACATGGATATGTTGTGTATGTTAGATTTTATATAGTGACACTAAGATCCACTTTTTTTTTCCTTTTGGTAGCCATGCATGCATTAATTTTCCTTCACTTTCCTAGATTTTAAGTTAAATTAAAAGTTTATATAATAATGATGTAAGTAATATTTATTTTAAATTATTGAAAAGATAATAGCAAGTAATTTTATTTACTTTCTTAGTCCCAAATCACTTGTCATGTTCCATTTTTCAAAAGTAAAGCTATATGAATTTTGACTAACATTTTATATGTATATTTTCATCATATTAATATGAAAAAAATTATAATTTACTGTACTTTTCGTATGAATTTTAAATATTTAAATTTTTATACTAACTATCATTGTATTCCATAAATATTAATATTGGTTCGAGTTCATTTTTGGAGGGTTCTACAAAAATTAAGTCACATTCAAAATGAATCATGACTTTTTGGATTGATCATGAGGGGAAGCTTTATAGATATGGTGAATTAAATGAAAGTACTATGTATATATTGCTGCCCACATGGCTATGATGTGTATTTAAAATATAGAAATTTATTGCCTATTAATTGGTCTAGTTGCCAACATGTCTATTGTCTTGTCTTGAAATGTCTTTCTCTATTGTTCTTTTTATTTGTTAGAAGGTGCGAGTAGCAAGTCTGAGATGGTTTGAATATATTTTGTGTCAATTTATAGATTTAGGGATTTGTAGATATGAAATTGTGGTAAGCAAATGAAGGTGTTGAGGAGGATTAAGGTAAACCTAAAATCATATAGAATGAAGTCATCTTGGAATAGGGGTGGAGATACATTGTTAATGATGCTCATTATTTCTACAGGATCAACATCACTTTTTGGAGTTTTGGAATCACGTAATATAAATTTAAGATAATCTAAGTTTTTTGTGTATATTACTTCATGATTTTTCGTCGAATTCCTACTGATTAACTCTATTTAATCTCTAATTTTGTGGGTCTATTTGAAATGACCTAGTTGATGATACACACAAGTGAATTGAAGTTTGACCTTAAGACACGAGGAGGTTGCTCGGATGGTAAACATCCTTCACCTTCGACCTTAAAATTGTGGATTTGAGTTATTGAGGTAGCAAAAAGAAAAGAAACTTTTGATTTCTTATCCATACCCAACAAGCTTTAAGAATAAATGACTCACTATAATTCTTTCATCATATTTAACTTGTAGAAGCTTGAGTTCATTGTGACGTAGTTAGAAAAAAGTTGAAAAGACAAAGAAGCTAGTCTCTGCTCTTTCTAAACTTAAGAAAATTTTTAAAAAAATGTATTTTGAATCAAAAAGTAATTAAATGCCTGTTAATTTTGAAAAATCGTAATTTATAGTCAAATAAAATCATAAAAATGATTATTTATGATATTTCTCTATATTAATTACACAGTTTTTCCCTTTAAACGAGTTGGTCCTTAATTTTTCTCCTAAATTCAAACTTATGCCTAGCGGAGAATAAGTTTTTTAAGGGTGTGGGACGAAACCTATGACACACTATATGATATGAAAATATAAACTGATACTCTATTTTTCAAAAAAAGTTAAATACCTTGAGAGACAAAAATTAAAGACTAACACAAAGTCGCAACTGACCCTCTTGCTTGGCCTTCAATGTAAGCTGTATTGGGCTAACTTTGCACTAGATAACTGGGCCTCACCAGAAATTAAGATGGATATTGGATCATTGTTCAAGTTTGGGCTGAAATTTATCTGGGCTAGTAGTGGTTTTGACTTTGTCTAATGTGGGACTTTCACGTGAGAACTGAAAATTTGAATTTAGTGAAATTTCAATACAAACAATAATTGAGAAATCAATAAACAAAAATGATATCAATTCTTCTAGAATTCGACATTCCATAATGTGACAAATACTATTTATAAAAAGGGAATAATAACATGCATGCCTTAGGATGATGTAGTCTCTAAAAGCCTCGAGATGACCATGACGTTTAAACCTACTAGCAAAGGTTATGATGAAGTAATATGTACTTCTTTGATTATATTTCATTACAGATCTCATATTTAACTTCTTGTAAATGAAGTCGTCTCCAATAGGGAATAGTGATATTTTTCAATTCAAATCTAAGTTAAACACTCAAATGGATATCAAACCCTTAGAGAAAAATCACGAAAAAATTAATATAAACTAAATTTATCTCCTAAATACTCGAAAAGTGTGTGGAGGGAAAGAATTCAAAGATTCTTGTGCCATTAACTATTGGTCAATGATTGAAGATGAGAAGGAATTAGTCCATCATTTTCAATTATTTTCTCACAAACTTATAATTGCTCCACGTATAACTTAGTCATTTTCTTTGAATATTTACAAAATGTCTATTCAACATATCCTTTTAGTTCAAAACTCCTCCTAAACATGCAATAAAATTTTGTCATTGAGCTATTTTAGGCTTAATGCAAGATTCACTTAACCTAGTCATAAAAAAATAGATAATAAATGCAAGTACCCCTATCATTTGGAGTTATCAACAAACTTATAATTAGTTCAAGAAAGTCTTAGATTTTATTTTATTAGGATAAAATAAAAAGGAAATAGTATCCTTGAAATGGGGTAGATGGATTATGTACATATATAAGGGTATTAAAACGTAAAATTTAGAATCAAATTGTTACTATACTGACCACTTAAAATAACGTTTGTGATCATTTAAACTTCCATTATTTCCCAAGAACGTAACACTCAATTTTACTAACAACTAGTGTACATATCCGCGCTTCGCGCGACTATAAGAAAAACTTAAAAATATTTTAAAATAATTAATTTCACTATCTGATAAATGTTTTAATAAATAATATAATAAAAGAGAGAAACACAAATTAAAATACGACTTCAATATTACTTATTCAAAAATTAAATTATGGAATTTAAAATTTTTCTCGAAAAAAAAAGAGTTAAGGAAATTATTATTTTTAGTTTTATCTATCTATCTATCTATCTATCTATCTATATATATAATCTTAATTTTACTATACATATAAATTTGATCATTTTTTTATAAATATTTTTATAATGCCCCTATTTATAGGACAACAATATGAAATATCAAATGATATTATGAATATGATTATTAATATAATTTAGGAGTTATGATCATCAAAAGTCATTAAAGCATGGGACATAAAGATACTTGAATTTTTATATTAAAAATTATGAACCAATGGAGGAGCAGTAATTGATAAATAATTTTACTAAATCATTTTTATCCTAAAAAATACTTTTGTATTTTAATTTCTGACCAAACAAATTATAATAATGATCTTTGAAAATCTCAAAAACTTGAGAACTTCTAATATTAATAATAATAAAAACTAAATATATGAAGACTACAAAGTTCCATATCAATAAACATTTTTTTTTTATAAATTATACAATATTATAAAAATTATGAATTAACTTTACATTCTCATGTTCTATCATAATAGTTATTAAAAGTTGATTTACATGACACAAAATTATATATACATGCTTTATTGAGTAGCATACATGTGTGTGTTGACTTTCTTTTCAGGTTCTATTTTCAAAAATATCCTGACATGAAAACAAAATAACTTAATCATACAACAACAACAATAACGACAAAAATATAAAAATGAAGTTAACTAATCAAATAAAAACTTTAAAGAATATTTAATTATGAGTTAAAGATAAAGGAAGGATCTTGTTATCAACATTACATAATGCTCCAAAAACTACAAAAAGAAGAAAAAAAAATCTCTATAAACTACAAAGAGAAGCAAAGAGAAAAAATCAAGCAATTTTTTCGAAAAAAAATTGTGATTCATAGTATCATGAATTCAAAAATAATAATAGTGAATGTATAATTGCACCAGAGAAAAAGTGATAACCATATTAGGCATATCAAATAGTTTAACTTGTAAAATCGAATTGCACAGAAATCTCTAACAATCTTCATAAAATATAATCATCACATATGTCTCAAAATATATTTTTATAAGTGTAATTTTGGGATGTTATAAATTTGCATATTAAATTATTTGAGGGTTATGAATATGAAAGGTTAGGAGTTATGAAATTTATTAATATTTATTATTAGGAGTAAAGTTTATGTAATTGAAGAGGTAAGAAAATAAAATAATTGAAAGAAATAAGAGAAATTGCCAATAAAATCACAAAAAAAATAAAATAAGAATGAAGCCCTTAGAGAGCGCCACATCACCGTTTTCATATTCAGCTTTATTATATATAGATTCTTAATCGAAATATAGAGAACATGTTGTAGATTCAACGGGAGGAAATAATGGACGTGCAAGTTGAAATTCTTCCTTATTTTTATTTGCCATTTAGAATGTTAATTCACTTCTTATACACTTCAATCTTCAAGTTCAAGAAT